TCTGACTATGTTTGCAAGTCTTAATAGGGCTTCTGTCTAGCTGCTCTGCAAAGATAAGCCAATCTGTGGAGAATCCGTTGAGCAGATTTCGGACTCATCCCACCAACTCTGGCCACTTCTGCAGTTGTTAATCTGGGATCCATTTTGATGTTCCTCTTGACAGCCATTTTTGTCCTCTCTGATGGACCAGGATGACCTGGACGCTGCACAGTTGTTTCCTTGCCATGTTTCCTGAACTGCTCGATGATTTTGTTGACTGTCGAAATCAGGATTCCCAAATTCTGCGAAATTTGCCGCTGACTTATTCCACCATCTGCTTGACCAACTATTCTTCCTCTAACAAAATCTGACAATTCGAAAGAACCTTGAGCTTTAGGCATGTTGTAGCACAAGATAATTAGTGTGCAGACCATTTTCATTTATATAGTGCTCTGTGAACACAAATTAGTTAGCATAAATCAGTTAAATGACGAAAAATTAGGTGTCTATTTACTTGTGACCACTCAGTGTATATTTGTAGAAATAACTACGACTATCTTACTATCTAAATATGTACAAAACTGAATAAAGTCAAACCTATTTTAATCTATTTTTGCCTTTTCCTCTAGTTTTTCTTTTTGTACCTTTTTTATTGATACTATCTGAAGAAATTACCAATACAATTGTTATTACTTAAATTTATAGCTGTGGTGATGTTATAATATTGATTTTTACTATAAGGATATAAAGTTTTATACTTAAGAATATAAAAGTTTTCCTTTTGTAATCTATCTGTTTCTATATTCACAATTTCTGAAATTATAATCACTATTGAAGCAAAGGGGTGAATTCTAAAATGTTCTAATTCAACTGAATTCACCTACATTATGTAGAGAATTAGATGTTTATCCCATGTACTGCATATTACACATATCACATGTTAATAAATAAATTATGTTTTTGATTTTACAAAAGGAATAATTGTAACTAATAGGATGAAAAGAACTAAGAGAAAGGCATATAAGGCATCACTTGCTATCACATTTTATAATGTTTGTAGCCATAAAAATAAACTAATATACAGTTAGATATGCTGAATATAGTCGACACATGATGATAGTGTCCATAAAAATTATATAATTATTGTTAATGAATGCTGTGTGTTGCTGTACTAATTTACACACATACCCATGTCATTTTGCTTTGTTTTGTAGCTGCATTGTTACTATTTTCTTATTTGCTTACATTTTTTATGTAATATTACAATTAATTATTTTTCATCTAAGGTGTGGATATGCTGTGTTAAATTCCTGCTATTCTTCCATATAATATTTAATTAAAAAAAAAAGATTACAATTATATATATATATAAACACACACACAAACAATTTAGAATATTGCAAATTTGTTAAAATCAAACCACACATTCAAGTAATTGTAGTGTTATAGTGTACAACTATTGTAGCTTTTTGAAAACACATCTCAGCTGTTTTGCACAATCTTTTTAATGACTTCAAAAAATATTTTTTAGTGTTACAGGAAGAAATCAAGTGTGTAGAGCTCATGACAAAATTACTTTACTGACATTACAAGCCTAAGATCTTCATCAAGTACTGCCTAAATGTGTGAATAAAAAACTACAATTACAATATCACTTCAAAAGGACAATATATTAGATCAATTTATGTATAGCATATAGTAAGTCCAGTGAAAATGAAAAATTTTCAAAATGCTTGCTTGAATAAAGCAATAAAAGATGTTTAAATGAGTAATAAATGTAATGTCTTCACTTTGGTTATTTTAGTTGACCTTTACAAGTATTTACCTTTTAAAATTCATTTTAAATTTTCATTTCCCAATTCATGTGTGAAATCATTACTGTTTTCACTCATGATATTCCAAAGCACACAGGAATGGCAGGAAAAAAAATAACATCAGAAAAGAATCCCAATAACCTAAGTGCTTCCTGGAAAGTACACTTTCCAAACTCTTGTGTTATTAGGTTTCTTTTCTGATGGTTATTATTGTTTTAATATTCAACTTTGTATGTGATTTATTTATTCTACTCCGAACTTAATCTTACTCTATTACTCTACATCAATTTGTTAGGTAACATTATAAACAATGTTCACATTTCAATTTATGCTGTACTTAAGTAGCACTGTTGCCTGCTGAATTTTTTAAATTATGGTTATTTTTATTAATCCTTTTAAAACACTATATAATGATTTGTTTAGGCCAGAAACATCAACAAAATATCTTTCTGCAGTTAATTAAATTACTCTTACTTATTAACTGCCCACTACGAAATTTCTTAAATAGCTTCATTTCTAACTGACATTCACCATTTACTCCCTCATTATAAATTACTACTGAATGTTTCTTATACATATATACCACACCATAAAAATCTCTAATATTCAGTAAACAACATTAGCGTCTAGTGATATTATTTATTAAAAAGCTCTAAGCTATACCAATAAAGCTGTATTTCATTGTATTTAAGCAACTTATGATGTAAAGTATATCTTCTTATTCAACCTAAAACTTTAATAAAGATTATCAATTATTATTCCAAAAATACCCACAAGCTTACCCTACTAGTGGATGTTTCAAGTCCACTTTCTCCTCTGCATGCTTGAGAAACTTTGCTAGGCTTTCTTGTGGACGCAGAAGGTACTTTAAAAATTGGCCAATCCACCATACAACAGGGTTTCCATGGATACGAATCAATCTTTCAGACAGGTCTTTAGGAATGTTCAAAGGCAGATAAGGAGGACGTGGACGAACACTATCAACAATTGGGAGGTCGATCACTTGAGCATCATCTGAGCCTGAGAGAAACATCCACAAGATAACCTCACACAATGTACAGATTTAACTGCACAGAACAAAACATTTTATCTACATAAAACATTATTAAAGCAATTATCCTATATCACAGGAGTCATACTAACTATAGCACTAGCTTAGAAATACACAATTACTCATATGGAGCAATTTGATAAAAATATTTTACATATTTGAATGATTTGTGCCTTACACTTGAGGGAAATAGTACATGAAATTTAATTTTTCTATTTTTAGGTTGACCTTTTTTACCATGAAACCATCAACCAGAAAATTTTAATTTTTGTTACATAATGTAGCTCCCAGTAAAGAGATATTTTACTCAAAGAAAGTAATACAAAACAAACCCTTCCACTACTGGAATCTTTAGTAAATCTAACTTTATTATCATCAGATATTTTTACTGTACTGTAGATCTCCTGTTAGGATACACATAATTAAATAAATATACCAAAATATTTGATTTCTAATGTTTTATCTTAAGTCTTTCAGCAATCTTTTCTATCATTATATGCACTACTATATATATATGTGTGTGTGTGTGTGTGTTTGTATATATATATACACAGAGGAAATAAATTCTGATTTTTGCATGGTATAAAACTTGTTCATCTTGTATAAGAACAACTTTACCTGACCAACTACTGCGAGTTATCCCTGAATCATCAGTGCAAGTATCACTAACTGGCTGGTATACTGTTTCCCAGCCTTGACTTGAATACCTCCAGTTCTTTGAGTGGAGAATTAGTGTTCTCTGGGTTCCATAGGCCACAATGAAACAATATACTACGTGATGAATTTGACAACCATAACCACAGCCTTTATTCAAGCTACAAATTAGTTTCCTTGCTTTGCTGCAATCTTTTGGATTCTATAAAAATTGGGAGAGAGAAAAAAATCTCAAAAACACAAATCCATAATTCTAAATAATAACAAAATTACAAATTTATTGCCTTAGTCAGGACTCCAAGTCCATTTTTATGAAACAAATATACTGTAACATGAAAGTATAGGTTTTAATAGGTTTCCTGCTAACTTTCTTGGCAAACAACTAATTGTCCATTCTGAACCTTTAATGAAATAATATTGTGGAGATCACAATAGATTTCTTAGTTTATTCTGAAAAATACTTGCCAATTTATCTTTTTTTATTAAAGGTTTTATTTACAGTGAAGAAGTCACTCTTTTTACCAAATCCTGTTTTAACATATATATATACATGAAAATATATGCACACCTGCCTCATGTTGGTTGAACAAATAAAGGTTTTTATAGGTCAATTTCACACATACAAAAAAGGAATACTTTCAAAATATATACTTTAATGGGCTTTATATGATTTTATTGATTTAGTGGGAGTCCTGTAACAACAAAATTAATATAAACTTATACAAACTATCTAAAACTCTTTTGACAACTGATAATAAGGTTTGGTTCATACACAAGCATATTAACAGTAAAAGGTTTCTTGTTACTTTATATGAAATTACTTTTACTTTCTACCATTAAAATTTTACATTTTCTCCCATAATAGTTTAGTGGATCGAACTAAGCAAAGTTTACTAATAATGTTACCTAAAAATGAACAAACTACATGACCTTTTAAAATACTGTTAGCTAGTCTCAAGGGACGTTCGAGGATACTCACATTTATGCTTATCTTGCGAGAAAGTATTACTGAGCGATGTAAATAGTTTTGCACAAGATCTAACAAAACATTTAGTAACCAGAATAGGTGTGATATACAAATATTTCCTTGTTCCTTATCAATATGATGAAGTGAACAAGATTTTATAAATTAACTAAAATTAATTAACTAGTAATTTAAAATGAACTGTTTATACAAATTAATTTTTTAATTCTTCACGAAAAAATTAAACATGTACAATAGCTAGATATCAAAGATACAAACAGTTTGGTAGAGAAGTTATGTACAATCTACAGCAGTCCACACTACATGTATATACAACCTTTTATTTCCCAAAAAATTATCTTGATGAATTAAAACCAATGAAATGAGTCTTCTCTCACATTCATTACAAGCTTTTGTTAAATAATCCATACACAGTTGTGTAACGTAATGTTTCTGAAACCCATTATAGTGGGATGGAGGTTTTGCACTAAAATCAATTTTATTTCAATACCAAAAGTACCTTTGATGAGTTTCATTTCTTAATCACCAGAAGGATTCATGTGTTCACAAAAAACATATTAAAACCAAATTTATCCTTTCAATAATGAGTGGGATTTTAAATTATTTTGTTTGCTGACAAGGAGCACACCACTATCAAGTTTACAATTTCACTAATGAGTAAGGTTTTAATATTTTATTTGCTAATCACCTGATAATTGTACATGCATGCCTTTAGAGGAGGAATTCCTTATATTGAAAAATTAATAAAAATATTTGAAACTTTTTACTGAAACAGAGTACAAGTTATGTGTTTTGGATTTTCTTTTATTCAAAACATCACATATATAATATACACTTGTCTGGTCTTGTTCTTTTGATTTGCCATTGTCCAGTGTTTCTGGCAAAGATATAACTCAGTGACAAGTGGTGAATCAAATGGTAGATTGGACTTCATATTTACTTTTAGAGTGAGAGTTCTTTAAGCTTTAGAAAAACACTCATCACTGCTTAAGTTCCTAAAGTATACAATAAATCTTAACATCTTGCAATTAAACACACCTGCAAGTATTTAAGCCTTTGCTGTACTAAATCACTCAGTTTTTTAGATTCTTCTTGTCTCCAGACTGCCATGCCATCTAGCTCTTTAAGTTTTTCTAGGTCTACCATAATGGATCTAGTAAAACATAAATGACAAATGGAACATCCTAATTTTTAATCTTAGTAATATAAAGATTACTGATAATGTAAGCTGACCATTCAGATTATTTTGTATTTTAAATTAAAATAATTAATTAAATAATTAACTCAATTGACTAGATTCTTTATGTTAAGTAACTTTTGTTAATTTCGTCATTACATTATGCTAGTTTACTCAAATTATTATATCCTACCCATAAGATGTAACTTGGATCATCTCATCTGATTATACAGTGAAAAATGAAGTTAGTACACTGATTTTGTTTATATTAAGTGGAGTAATTTATCCAGTTAATCATAAAGAGAGTACAGTTACAAGTGATGAGGATTTATTTGATCCAATTAAATTTTTAGAATAAGATCAGTAAAAGTAAGCACTGAAAGCAAGAACACACTTATGATCTTACTATAGTTTGGTGGCATTCAAATGTGAATAACTTTGCTGCCTTTGATAATAATAGTCAAGTACAAATATACTGAAAATCTAGTTGCCTCATGCTTACAAAGAAGTGGAATTTTGATAAAATTGCTAATTTTTTGTTTGTTTGACACAGTTGCCAGTTTTCTAATCTTGTGCTTCATTTAAAATAGATTCAACTGAGCTACTACTATAGCTTATGTGAAACACTTATCTCCTGCTTCAACGGAAGCAGAATTTCAATTCATTTACTACTCCACTTACCTCCTGCTTCAATTAAAACAGTTTTGGACTCAGCTACTCTTGTATCATAATTTACATGAAATTCTTTGCCTTGAATAAATACACTGAACTAAATATAAATTGTTTGGTGATGTCAAGGTTGTATGACTATTCATGGAATTCCTAAATCAGCAAGGATTGCAGAAAAATTTTTTATTGCTTGTATAATGTTTGATACTAAAAAGAAAATGGAATGAAATAGGAAAGTACAATACACACAATTTAAAAATAAGAGTTTTAAAAGTTATTTAAAATCTTATGCAATTGTATATAATTATTCATGCACAAAATGTCAATATGAAAGTAACGTGTGAAAAATAATCTTTCAACAAGTCATTCTGGGAAGAGTATTATCTAACCTTCATTGCTCTATCTCCATTATCATGGAGCCCACAAGTGAAAAAAGAAGATGCACAAAATGCTTGCAGTTCAAGACAATGAAAATGGGATGTAAATTATTGTTATACTTTATATTTACTTTAGCTCAGATCACTGTTTCATTCCAAACCCAGTTGAATAAAATGCTTTGGAATCAAAGAGAGATGATGTATCTACTTTTATTTTAGCTTGAAGGTATTTTTAGGCTATCACTTCAAAATGTTTAAATTACTACAATAAAAATACAAAACCAATATAGACAAAAAACTTAAGAGTTTGCAAGTTCCATTGTCCAGACTTAGCTGATATAAATCTTACATATTTTACCTTTTATGATCTGCAATATCATCCAATAAATTAGTTAGTGTTTTGATCATTTCCTTGTTTGAGCTCAATGTCTTGTTCAGTTTTTTCAGTCTGGAGCGAATAAAGTACCACATTTCAATAGTACCATCTTCCACTTTTCTTCTTGTCAGCTCATATTCTTTACTTGGTTCTCCTTGATCTAACAGAGAGAAGCCTTTTCAAATACCCTCTGTTGAAGTAAGTTTAATTTTACATAAATGTTATAACAAAGATACTGATAACAGTGATGTTACTTACTATAACTTATGAATAAATACATTCTAACTGTTACAAGTTTTTGAAACTGCATAGTCCGAGTTAGACTGGTATATAAAATTAGCTATGTGTTAATTTTTAGTTCTGACCTATGCTCAGAGGTTATTAACAAGTCTACTGAATACATCAGACTTTTTAAAATCATGATGTCCTACTTTTTTGGAATGTCACACCTTGGATATCTGCTGGTCTCCGTTTCAAAAGCTCATTGGCCTTTGCTAACTTGTCTTGTAATTCTTTATATTGTTCTTCTGAGGGCTTGATTTTTGCTAAAGCAGGAATTCTACAAGTGTAAATATATAATTGTTTATAAGAAGTTAAAATTATAAATAAAACCAACAACCTGCATTTACCTAAGAATTGTAAGTGATATATACAAGACAGCCCAAATGCAATATGATTCTGGTGCGTCATACATGTAATGTGATACCATCAATCACACTAGAACTGTGACAGCAGCAATTCTTTAGATGAAAAAAAATCATTTTGAAATTACATATTCTATTTTCATTGACATTGATATTTATCCCATGTTATCTAGAGATAAAC